TGAAGAAGTTCGGTGATTTGGCAGCCTTGCTTGACACCTACTCCAATACACCCGAGAGCAAACTTATAAATTATGATCGTCATTTTATGCTTGGAGGCGTCAAAGGCAAGATGACTAGCAATGCAGCCTTTATCAATGCGCTCCTCATTGACAGGAGCCGCATCACTAGCAAGTGTATTGCTATATTGAACGCTCGAGGCCTTGTTTGAATGAATGTTTCATGGACATGGGCGTTTTGCACGACCACTTAGGAGAAGACGGCAGCTGGTTCGGTGATCAGGAGCAGCTTCCTTGTTTGCAGAATTCTGTGGTGCAAAACGAAACTAAAATTGGGAATGAGGATACCGAGGGCACTCTCTCTCACACTGTCGCGCAGCTGAAGGTAAAGAAGCTTGACTTACATGGCATTGATGACCGTTTGGGTGGTGTACCAAGAATTGTTACAGGAATGCTGCTTGATCTCGTACGACAGGATGTTGTGGTGGGACGGTTTGGGGAGGGAGTGAATGTGAAGAATGGCAAGATACAGATTCAGGGTATCTGGATTGAGCGGGCTGAAAACGAGTGGTATCATATGAGCAGCGGTAAACTGCGAGAGGCTTGGGGTTGGAACTTCGATCTCTTCTGGTGGGTGATGGCACACCTCTTTTCTCACTCGCTATGCCGCAGTCCCGCTGGAGGTCTCGGACCACCGGAGCACATACAGATACAATTGGAGACGTACCCTACAGGTTGTATTATCTTGAGTTCCCCTGATACTACGTATATCAGCATGGCGTTAGATTTGTTTATGACCCAAGCAGTCGAGATTTGGCTCAAAGCAAGGAAACCTCCTGTGACGGATTTAACGCGCTTCCGCTGCCAATACGATGCCGAGCGAGAGCCACCGAGCGATATCGCTGTATGGGAATACGCTTTTGACTATCCCACCTGGACACAGTTGGAGGCCGTTCTCGCCCAAGCTCAGGCCGCCAAGCGGGTGGGACGTCCTAATTATGCATATTACTCTGCAGGAGGATAGGGGGCCGGCAGATGGTCTCCGCTTGGCTCGGTTCTCAGCTCGAGTCAAGTGCTACGCATTGGGATGGCGGCTGCTGTAAACGATTTTGCAACAGTCTGGCTGAAGGTGAATGATGTCGAGAAGACAACTTTCGAAGTGCGCAAGCCAACTAGGCAGGTTTCAGCCTTCACAGTTTTCGACACTGCATTAGAGGTTAACGCGGGGGCTGTTATTGGGTTTTCTTCAACAGACGCTACCGTTGGTTTTATAGTGACATTGCTATTGGAGCAGTATGACTTTGCATGAGCGCTGCAGAGAGGGAGTGGGGGCTAAGCCCCGCCACAGCCGACGAGGGGGATTTCCGGCTGTAGGGGCAACTTCGCTGTCTTGTGACTTTTGTGCCGACCTATGTGCTTATTATGTGCCGACCTATGTGCTTACTATGTATTTGAACCATACATAGCAAGACTATGCAATGCCTATGCAAGACTATGCAATGCCTGGAATTCAGTTAATGGAATGTGCTGATTAGACCAAGAAGTATTTGAAGCCAGATGCAGTACCATCTGTTTTTGATTTTCCTTTAAATTTCCAAAACAAAGATGGGCAAAGGAAATCTCCAAGAAAGGGAAAAGCTCCCAGTCCACAAAAACATGTGGCTATAAAGAAACCCAGGCACTCTGATCATCCAGGTATACAAGATCATACATACAGCATGTCCCCAAGAAAAGTCATCCCCAAAATGAAAGTGTCTAGAAAAAAGAAAATGAAAGATAAGAGCACTGACAAGGAAAAATCTTCGCAAAGACAAAACAATAAAAGGACTATTAAAAAAGCTGCAATGCACGCAACACTTGTCAAAGGAGCAACGCAAGTCAATATGACTAAACTTGTTTGAGAATGAAAGAAAAAATGCCAACAAGTCAAAGCATTCAAAATACAGTGATACTATCAAGCAATTTGCTATCTCCTTGCATTTTTACAGTCAAAGGGCATACAATTTTGTAAGATGAGCACTTCACTTACTGTCTGTCAACCATCCGAGCATGGGCAGATGCCATCAACTGTGAGCCTGGTTCTTAAGCAATGTCATTAAACATTTCCAGAATGGTCTTGAAGAGAACTGCAAAGATTGTATTCCTGATAGTATATGAAATGGCCATAAAAAAGTAATTTGGGATGTAAAAAACAAGAAATTTGCTGGCAATACAGATTATGGTCCCATTCTTGCAGAAGAACAGGATAGCATTGCAACAAATGTTTCAGTTGTCATGGCTGCAGGGCTCAAAAAACAATGGTATCACCCCATAGCATATTTCTTGGTGGACCGCGTCACAGCTGAAATGCAAGCCCAGATAATCAAAGAGGCTATCAATTTGTTAACTGAAGCAGGACTTGATGTGCATTGTGTTACATTTGATGGCTGTGCAAAAAATCTGGCAACAGCTAAAGTCCTGGATGCAACCGTAGCAAACTTGATGGATCATTCAAACACCTGGATCATTCAAAATGCCTTGATGGGCATTTTTGACGGATTAGAAAAAATGGCGATCTCTAAAAGAAAAAGATTACTTCTTCTTAAGAAAAAGTTACAGCTTTTAAAGTTGAAAACAAGCAACAGCAAACGTCGATACTGGATTCACCCAATTAATATACGACCTGATCGGCTTGGACTATTTAACAACTTGATTAAAGAATTACGAGAGCCGAACAATGAAAATAGACACATAAAATACTTGCGAATGACGACGACAAATTTTGACGACATTTTGGATTTAATTAGACCTCACATCACTAAAGTTGGCACACATCTTAGAAAGTCTATTAGCCCTGATTTATCAAAACCTCTTGCCACTCCGCCATGTTTGAGTACA